AAATCAAATTCCGCCCGACTGAGGTTTTTCTTGGTCCTTTGGCAGGAGTTCTCTTAGTGGTGGCGGGTCTGGCAACATTTATCGTGTACGAGATGGAAATACTTAAGTACAATAGGGATGAAGACAAGAAAGACAAAGTAGTAATGATCCACTTTGTCATGAATATAGTGATAGTGACACTAATGTCTGTTTCAACTGTGATCGGCTGTGCCATCTACCAGGTAGACCACAGGGAGCATGTATCAGACAAAAACCCCACCCGCAGCCTGGATGTGGGGCTGCTGGTGGGAGCCTCACTGGGGCAGTTCATCATCAGCTATTTCACCATCGTCGCAATGGCTGGCACTGGAGCCAAAGGCTACCTAAACGGGCTCAACTTGGCATGGGCTATCCTGATGGTGATCCAACTCGGCCTGCAGAACTATTTCATCATTGAAGGTCTACATCGGGAGCCCTTCCATGAGGTAGAACCAATCAGTGTGTTGGCAAATCCATATGTGCTGCAGCCAGGCAAAGATATGAGCATCCTTGAAGAATCAGACATGGACACAGAGCCCGGCCCGGTACTCACAGCAGACAGCCTGCACAACCACACAGTCGCGCACAGGCCTAAACTGTTATGGAAGAGACGGGTATTGAAGGAGGTTTGTGCGTTTCTGCTGCTGGGCAACGTCATCGTGAGTAGTATTTTCCCTCACATTCTCAAAGTTACTGTATTAAAATTCAACAATTACTCAATCTGTTCTCAACTCTCTTTTTTTTGGACAGCTGTGGATAATGCCAGCATTCGGTGCTCGTCCCCAGTTTGACCACACCACTGAAACTGAGTTCTACCAATTCAACATGTGGGCTGCAGTTGTAAATGTTGGACTTCCATTTGGCATCTTTTACCGCATGCATTCAGTTGCTAGTCTGTTTGAGGTTTTTCTGACATCATAACACTGCAGATCACATGATGTGTACAGACAAATGTTTTGACAATAGAAAGCTGTTTTGTATACATTCTAGTTTGTTTGATGAATCTTTGTTATTTCTTTATAAATGTGTGAAGTAGTTGTTCACTGACATATATCATCACTTTGTATACAAGTATGTGTGTCAAAGTAAATGTATTCAAAACTTTATTTTCAGAAGTCAATAATAATGGATTGCAAAGCTGATCTTGTATGACATTATTTTTGTTTTAACCTATGTACACACAAAATAAAGGCAATGTTTGCAATTAGTTGAGTAAGAGAATGATTGTGTCAACAATTATTATGATTATAATTTTAAGGATTATTGTTGTAATTATTTTAACAAAGGTGTAGTTAGCCGGCCCAATACAAAAGCTATAGTACAAACAGCCTATTTTGAAAGAGCTTTGTAGTCGAAAACCAGTTTTATTTTAGATCAGACTTTAGCCGATTGGGTGATTGAAGATATCGGAAAGAAAAGGAATCAACATTTTAGTACATTTTTAAGAAAATTACGAAACATTTTTATAGTTTCAGCCTAAATTGTGCTTTTTAATCTTTGACTGTAGGAAATTCTCATGGGTATTTTTCACTAAACGATTGACTGTATAGATTAAATCAATTTGATTATCCAAGGATAATTAAACTAATTGCATGTTGCAACCTTGAAATGATTCATTATGCACTAAATGAACAGTAGCCTACACTGTTATAGATAATATATGTGTTACCTTATTGTGGCTACTACTGTGGCATTTAAGTACTAGGCTTCTTTTTTTTAAAAGATATTGCAAACGTGTTAGTTCATGTCGTTTAATATGTTTCGAAATAAGTGCCAGTAGAGCGGGTTATACAAGAAATACTATGCACTGAGTCACTTGATTGAACGCACCCAACAAATGCTCTCTTAAAGAATTTTAAGAGCTTGAAATAAAAGCCTTACACTTTTGAGCGGATATGTTAGGTTTACCTTTGAGTCAGGCATATTAAAAGCCACACCTCCCTCCTTTGGGTCCTTAGCACACGGACTTGTTTACTACACGTCACCAGGAAATACATCCCGGAGAATCAACATGCTAAGACAGGTGATCCATCCTAATGTAGTTTTTCGGGATAACTTAATAACTATATTTATTTTTGAGTATGATATACCATTAGTTGACATGTTATACCTTAACATGCATGTATTTTTGGATTGAAATTGCAATTGAAACGAAATGAAAACGTTATACATGTATTTTACAAATTAGCATTAGCGTTAACCTGCTAATGTTTTCTCATGTTTTCAGGACTCCCAAGACGCTCCGCTTTTTGGTGAAGATGACGGTAACACGTTGGTTAGAAAGTCCAACATAAGGTGCTTCTTTTTGTGGTTATAGTTTAAAATTAACTATCCTGTTTTGATCATTGTTTTTTAAAGAATCAAATCTGTGTTTCAGACATCCGGTGGTCTCTTTCTTTCATCTCTTCTTCCGAACAAGTGCCATCTTGGTTTACTTACTGTGTGACATGTTCAGCAGTCGGTTCATTGCCTGTATGGTCACCATCATCCTCCTGCTGTCATGTGACTTCTGGACCGTCAAGGTGAGCAGGTCAGGTGACATAGGATCATTTATATACTATGGACTTGCATGAAAACTATGTCATGTTTTTGTTTCCCACACAACACCTTGTTTGCGGCACATTTAGGGCTGAAGGCGTTGTTTTCAGTTCCAAATATTTCGCAAGAATATTTCCTCGAATCATCAATGAATCATTTAGTTAAGAAGTTCCTGTTCTTCAATTCATCATCACATGAAAAAAAGTAGTACATCCCTACAATAAATCAGCTGTGAGGAGCATGTTTAATTATATAAAAACAATTCATTTGATTTTTCAAATTGTTGCATGTACATTTTTTCAACACACAACGGAAGTTACATAGTTATTATTTTTTGTTTAGTTTTGTCCCATGTTAAAACTGGGGGTTGTTTTTTGAAAATCTGCGTGTGTTATGTCTATCAAATCAAAGTGCCAGGCTTTCATTAACAGATGGATCCCTTTTTTTCCAGAATGTATCTGGCAGATTGTTGGTGGGCCTGCGGTGGTGGAATCAAGTGGATGAAGATGGAAAGAGCCACTGGGTATTTGAGTCACGGAAGGTAAGCAGATACATTTCTAGAATGCCTTGCAGGAATATGCACTGGGCTTTTTTTCAACTCAAGAAGAAGAATGACCTTTTCCAAAGAAAGGTTTTTCTTCTGAAAGACAGACACATTTATAAAAAACTAATCTCTTGTAAGCCAAACGGCCTCATCATGTTTCTTTTTTATTAGAAGCAAAGTCCCAAGAAAGTAATACATATCTGAGTATGAGGATCTTCACACACAATGACTGCATTCTTGTATGTGCACCTAAAGTTTCACAGGCAAGCTAAATAAGCCTTACAGCATGTTCTAAGTATCAGTATTTGCACTCCTTTTTAATGGTATAATGTAGCTGCATGACCTTATTGAACAATCAAACGGTGTAACATAGAAGTGAAGACACATTTTTGTAAGATTATGACGGTTTTGTATCTTGGAATTCATGACACAAAGTCTTGTTTATCTTTCTCGATAGACACAAAGTCTGAACACAACAAGCGGTGCTGAGTCACGGATCTTCTGGCTCGGACTCATCGTGTGCCCTCTCTTTTGGATCGTTTTCGTTTTCAGCACCATTTTCTCTCTCAAGATTAAATGGCTGGTCAGTTCAGTGTTGTTTTTAAAGTGAATGTGGATTTAAATTGCATCTTATTTATTGTGGCGGTATATCTCATTCCTCTTTGTGCCCCACAGGCTGTAGTAATCATGGGCTTGGTTTTACAAGGGGCCAACCTGTATGGCTATGTCAGATGCAAGGTGGGCGGGAAGTCCAACCTGAGAAACATGGCAAAGAACTATTTCACCGTTGAGATTTTTAAACAGGTATGTGAAGAGTAATCATACTTCCCTTCATACAGTTTTGCCTTAATGACATGATAACTTTTTACATTTTTTTCACTAAAGGCAATGAAGAAAACAGAGGGACCTTGAAGTTGAACAGAATGAGTGACAACCCGTCTGCAAAATGATGAACGCATGACGCATAAATACTTGATTCTTGTTGGTCTTTTTTGAGGTTATATGGGTTTTTATAATTTCTTTCAAGTTTTTGATAAAGCAGATTTTGTATGTGTTGTTTCCTCCAAGTGCATTGATCGATTCAGGAATAATTGCCAAACGTTTTCTAAAGAAATCCAATAGTTGCTTTTGAGAATACATTCATACAGTAGTTTATGCAGAGATCAGAAGTGTTATAACTTTTATTGAGGTAATGTAATTGTGAAATTGAAGCACTAGCATCACTGGCACAATCCTGAATAAGCTTTATTTTATTTTTAGAGAAGTTAAGAAGATTGTGTTTAAATAATTATTCCTGAGAGGATTTGGAACGAAGCAATACTTTAGGTATTTGTTATCTAAAACTGGATTTTGGAGCTAAAAGTTATTTAACTGCTATATGTTGTTTCAAGAAGCTTTATTTTGTCTGATTTTGTACAAACCTTTCTGGGAAACTGTTGTACTTTACAATACATAAATAAATACATATTATACTAAAAGTATCTCTGGATGGAAATGTAATTAACTAATGGCTCACCATTCCTATCATCAGGCATTCAAAAAGTATGTCTAATTCTTAATGAAATGAATAGAGGTTAAAATGTCAACAGGTCCAAGTAGGAAAACCTCAGCAGATACAAAGTGCAGTGTCCCCTGCCCACCTGCAGTGACTGCTTTAACCAGTAGGTGGCAACAAAGGACCATTTCCTTTATCTTTAATTTGCATTTAACATATTTGTATAGAAAGGCATTATACTACAACCACTTTATTCCAATACAAAATAATGCCACACATGTCTTAATATCATCATTGAGAAATCCTAGAGTAACATCTCCTGTTTATGAGGGCTGAAGGAACATGGTCTTGTCATGTGTGCAGATGTTAGTTTTATATATAATTCCATACACTGTGACTCAAAAGTGATTGAGGAGTGAAGCATGACATTCCTTTATTTGTATGATTTCAGAAATATGTTCACACACATCTTTATAATTGAGAGTATACATCTGCAGTATTTGACATATAGTGAGCTAAACAAGTTTTATAAATGTAAACTGAGATTGGCATCAATCGTTGTCTTTATATCCTGAACTTTGTGCGCTCAGTTAAGCTGTTTGTTATAGTATCAACATTCATTTTATTAATACCAGAATTCAAAATGGTTAACCACACATCTATACTTTACCATAACCATTATCATGGCAATAAAGTACATAGTTCCGCCTATTGAATAGAACCAGAAAAATGTCTTGTCCAATTTGTTGGCAAACTTCAAATCTCTGTCCTTTTTCAGTGTGTCTGCGTCAACAGCCTCCAGGAAGTTGACCACCTTTTTCAGCATTCCACCATCCTCCTCTGGGCTGCTAATCTGAACCACACTAACGTCAGCTTTGACTTCTGTAGGGAGTGAAGCCACAATGAGAGCAGGTTATATAGTGTTTCATCAAAAATAAGGACTACTTAAAATCCCCTACTCAATAACAAAACAGAAGTCCTTTAAAGGCCAGGTCATTCTCACCCTCTTCCTCTTTTTGTCCCTGTTACCTGTGTTGTCGGGGACTGTCCCTTTGGAGCCGCAGCAGAATATGAGACTACCGTCTATGGCCAAGCGTGTCAGCACCAGGGACACCAGCATGCTGAACACCAGGAACACCAGACAAATGCAGAAGTGGGTTCCTGCAGCAAAGACGAGGTTGTTAGTGACTCAAATGATGCTGCTGCTGTGTATCTATTTGGTTTGTGTCTGCATGTGAGCTGACTGACGGATGATGGGGCTGCAAGAGCTGTCTCCAGGAAGTATATCGTTGAGGATGTTGAGGAACACGGTGAAGCTGAGCACCAGCGTGACCTTGAAACAGTTGCGTTCACCACCTCCCAGCGGCAGAGCGAAGCTGACCATATCAGCCAAGAGGATCAGAATACTGGGCATCAGTAATGTTATAAAGGGGTTGGTAGGTTTGATACTTAAATTCACCTGAGGAACATGGCAGACAAAATGACACATTACAATAGAGAAAGGCTATTACCACTTTTGCACCAATAAGGTGAATTCTTATGAAAAGTCTAAATGACCATGCTACACGTTCATGAACTTACCAGGATGTATTGACGGCTATCACTTTTATTCTGAAGTTCCACATAATCAGTTTGCCAATCTCCCTGGCTACCATCAGCACTAAACACTTCCTTTATTACCAGCTTAGAACCACAACCTGAAAGAAAGAAAAGGGTACTCTACTGATTTCAACCCTATACCGCTGACAGATTCATGATATGCAGTTTAAAAAAAAGATCAAAATCAGTGCAGCAGAACCAGAGATATAGTCCTTTTTATTCCATCTCTAATTCTGGCAAAACCTGGCGCCCACATTACCTGCATTTAAAAAAAATCTGAGTAAACTAATGTGGCCTAATTTTACAATGTATAAAAGAAAATTATGAAGATGCCTTAATAACTGGAAATTCATCAAGATAAGACCCAAAAAAACAACAGCGCAGTCACTTGAGACAACATTTTTTATCAAAATCTTCTTCAGAATAATCACAGATATGTTGATTGATGAGTAAAATAGGTGCTTACCATCGAGTTAGTGATACAAAAAAAAGTATAATATTTGTTTTCATAACATACCGGTATCGGACCACGATTGTATGGCGACTGGACAAGAATCAAAAGCGAATGGATAGTTGAAGAGGTTGACTTCACAGTTCACCGCTGCGTTTATGACCACAGAGTGTCTCAGTGTGCCATCACTCAGTACCAGCAGATCCTTGGAGTTGTGCTTCATAGTTGATTCTATTCTGCACAGGTTAAAGACAACAGATGTGAATATCAAGAGGTCCATTAATTACATTTGTTGGAATTGTGTCATGAACCTTACCCATTTGTTACAAGGATCTCTGGGGTCCAGACTTTTCCAACTGGCAGGACCACGTCTTCATAATCGTAATCTGATGTGTTCCATTTCAACTCAGGATCTGACCATTCCTGTAGTTTCAAATCAAATTGAATGTGATTAAAACATTTATTTATTTTGTATCCATCTGTAAATATCTACAAACGTACAATTTTAGCTTGCAGACGACTGATGAGGCGCAGGTTCTTTGTGTCCTGTTAAAAAAAAGTCAAAATCATTGGATGCTGATGGAAATTAGACCTGTGTGCTTGTGTCTCAAATTATTGCTGAGATTAATAACAGTTTGTAATGTATCTACTTTTGACCTGATCAAATTACATTTTCAACAAATATTCAGCAGGTACTGTACAGCAACATCACATGATACATTTGTATTTCTCTTTATGTTAACAGGTCTAAAAAGAGAAACAAGGTTCTCAGATAGCGGCACAAAACAGATACTCACAACTGCCAGAGTCTGGTACTCAATGAACAGCACTTTGATCACATGGGTGCAGTTCTCAGTCTGTGGCTGTGATAGAAGGCCTTTTTTGATCAACATTTCAGCCAGACATCGGCGACTTGTGCAGACTGCATCTCCACATCCTAAAGTAGAAAGAAAAAAAAATGAAGCATTAAATATACATGAATACTGCCTTTAGTGTACTACCAATATAAACCCTTCATTTAAGTTACACTTACCTACTGTTAGTAAACTCAGTAAGAGAGCTTTCCAGTTTCTCAGGAATCTTAACATTTCTGAAAATAAGACTTCACATATGACTGATAACTGCAGACTGACTGATGGCTGTTTGTCACCCTGACATGACACTTAAATAGGCTGGACTGTGACGTTTCACAACATATTGGCACCACCGTGTAAGCAGGACAATATGGTCGTCTCATGTTCAGCGCATCCCGCAGTCCTGTGTAAATAGACAGAACACAAATGCAATTACACTGTTTACCTGCCAGCAGACACAAGTAAAGCTCCAGCTGCTTTTTGTCATTATATCGTGCCATCCTGTATTTCAATGGGACTGTATATTTAACTTAGGAGTCCACCACCCGTGGGACAAAGACAGGTTTCAGTGTATTCCAGGAAGATCATTACACAGAATGGCTTTTGTTTTGACAGCTGCTGATGAATTCAGGTTTAGTCTCCCTTACTTTTGACAATACGAAACACATAATCACTATATGAGGTTAATTAGAATCTTTATTACAAAAAAACTGCACTGCCAGAACATTTATTTATGTCTTACAGGATGAGGTTGTCATCTGCAATAATATACGATTTAACATATTTATGAAACAGTGTTATTTTTAAAATAAAAGTTACAATTTCATAGTAGTTGGAGGATAATATTTTGTTATTAATCTAATTTTTATTACAACATTAAATAAGTATGATGATTTAAAGTGCTAAAATAAGGGTCAGTACACAGTGTCTCTTAAAACTATTCAATATAAAATGTATCTTAGATTTTTAGGCATGCTCTTTTAATAAAAAAGCCCAAAAAGGTTTATCACATGACTGTATTACTGTCTTATTTCTTATGTGTTTCTGCTTTATTTCTGTGTATAAATAGTATTTCTCAAAATCGTATTACCAAACGTGACTTTTGTACATTTTAATGGCCATGTGTATAAAAACAGAGTAGGGCATATAAAACCTTACATACAAGTTTTATGAATGTGATTTTATTTAAATGATTGGACCACTTGACCAACAGGTGCTTTATCTTGAATATTTTACATTTGTGTCATATCAGATTGATCTGATCAATATCAGTCAATGAGGTTATCACCGCCTGGTCTCGAATACGTGCCTCCCGGTCATCCTGCGTGTTGGACTTGCATTGTTCTTATTGTCTCTTATTCAGGTTTTACTGAGAAAATACAGCAGCCTCTCGTCTCTCTTTGTCTGGCACCCAGGTTCAAAACACATTCTTTGAATTCTTGACTCCTATCTTTAAATCAGTGTTCTTTCACTACACAAAGCCCTCTACCATAAAACTAAGCTCACTCTGTCCCCGCCAACACGTTGTTGCTTTTTAATTATGGTACTTTATTCATTGAAATGATGGCTGTTTTTATTTAAATCTTTTGACATGTCGTAGCGTGTATTGTTTATAATACGACTAATTTAGTGATTTATCTTATATCCAATAAGTTCATATATACCTCATGAGTCAAAATTGACGATATATGATGATATATATCATGTAAAACACATATTTTGTGTCTTTAAATTGTGTTTATTTGGTACACCTGTGCAATTGTGAGTTAACACACCTGTCTATTAGGCCAATCCGGGGTCAGCATTTAGACATGTGGACATGGTGATCTGCTGAAGTTTAAACCAAGCATCAGAATGGAGGAGAAACTTGTTTAGGTTTCCTGAATGTAGCATAGCTGGTAGTGCCAGACAGGCTGGTTTTATTTTTCATGCATGCAGTCTGTAGAATTAGCAGAGAATGGCCTTATAAAAGAAAATATATAGTGAGATCACATTGGCTGGTAAGAGATTTGATTTAAAGGGCCCTCTTGCCCAAATAAAGTGCCCTGATACAACTAATAAAGAGGTTACAAATACCTAATAGAAGGTCTGCACACACACACACACACACACACACACACACACACACACACACACACACACACACACACACACACACACACACACACACACACACACACACCACACACACACACACGCACACACACACACACACACACACACACACACACACACACACACACACACACACACACACACACACACACACACACACACACACACACACACACACACACACTCACCCACACACACACAGTCTAATTTAATCCTTTATGATGATTTATTTTTGCATTATCGGTTGTGCATCATGGTCGTGACCCACTTAATTAAATACAAAATTAAACAAATTGAAATGTTGGATAATGTTGTAATTTCTCGTATGGTGTGGACAGTTAAATCAATTGGACATCAATATACTGTACTGTTTCACAGTTTATGGTTTTGTTATGTACTGCGCTAAAGGAAGTGAAATTCTCTTAGTGTGAACTGCTCTTTCCAGGTTATCTCTCAGAGGAATGTCTCTTATCTCTGTCTTCACACATCATCTTAAACAACCAATATGTAATGAATCAGGTAGGTTTCAAAGGACAGCCTAGTTTTGTTTTTAAAAGTAAAACATGACCCCTATGTTCTATTTTTAAAACCACAACACGGTTGTTTGGGTGTTGTAGACCTCTGTCTATCGTCAGATTATGACTGCAATAAATGTGGTGAAGGTTAGTGTTTCCTGGCGGCTCAGGTGTTATCTCTCTTGTCTTATCAGAAATGCATCTCCAGCTGATGAAGCAAAGGTTAACTTTCTGTCTAATGAATCATAGAAATCACTCAAATATTACAAATCATCAATATGTGCCTTCAATATTTTGTAAATACTTATAACGCAATACCTATTTCAACATCTAAAGACCGTTAAAGGGCATTTATGTTTTTTTCCTGAGGAACCTCTAAAATATTCCATAGACCATAAATTCTTTCAGATTGTCCAATAAGGTTTCAGAGGGAAGGGATTGCTGTGATATCAGAACTAAATTGGACTTTGCCACAGAGCCAGCCCACAAACATTGGTAACAGACTGACCCTGCAGGTTAATTTCACTGTGGCAACACATCGCTTATACCTCGACTGATGGGCCCCGGACAACTCTTTTTGTCTTTTTTCTACTTTGCAAGTAAGATGACTTTTACAATTTACCTTGTGTGCTTTTACAAAAACTATCTATAAAGAATTATGACATGAATGCAATTTACTAGTGTCTATGCTGAGGAAAAAGTGCTTTTTGTTTCTTAAAGCACTTTCAGAATTCTTGTTGTAAGAATACTCAAATATTTGTAAAATGGTTTAAATTGTCACAAATGCAGCTGCATAGGTGCACAAATCCCACAGACTAATATTCCATAATATTAGCAACAGCCAAGCTAAATAGAAGGGAAATAATTAACTACAAGTTGTAAAAGTTAAACATTATAACTAATTTAAAACAAATATAACAGCAATTATTAAGTACTGCCAAGCATGAACTGAAGAGACGTCTTGGAATTTAAAAGGACATCAGAGAATTGATTTTCGTTTTTAAATATTTTAAATGTTTCCTATTAACCTAAAGTTTGTGAATTCCTGTTAAATATGGGGAAACATCAACATTTGTTGTTATATAAACGGCATTGATTGGAAGTTGTTTGAGGATTAACCCTCATAACACAAACTATTTCCAGGCAATAGTGAGAGTTATACAAGAAAACATGAGGTGTTCTTTAGGAACTAAGACATTTCATTCAGGTTTGAGATTCAAGCTTAGGTCCAGATTGCTCTCATATAGGCTACCAAAGACTGCAGTGTCAAAATCGCTCAGTGTGATCACAGAATGGCTCACAAAAGGGTTTGAAAGGTGAAAGAAAAAGGTTAAATTGATAGAAAAAAGGCAGTGAAATATGTAAAAAGAGGTTAAGAAATTGAGACTAACAAAAGCACACAGCAAGGCTACCGGAAATGTTCAGAAAAATATATATATTTGGAACCACCATACCTTAATAACATAGGCTTGCCTTATAACCTACACTTGTCCTTCTCCATGGACTGCTTGGCTGCTGTGTAGAAATCAGCAGTCTGTAACTGTGACACTGCTGCTTATTCACCTGCTTACAAATGCGTGGTAACTTACTATAACTACGCATTTTTATCTACCAATTTATCATATACCATCACCACCTGCTACAAAAGCATTGTGACACAACAATGTATGACAATGTTAAATATATCTGTAGTCTAATTATAGTTATATGCTTTATTGAAACACTCAAGTTTTGTCACTATGTTTGTTTTCTTCTTCAATTATTTCTTAAGAGAGTGGAAAACAGCAAAATCTTATTTAGATTAACATTTGCCTGACCGAAAGTAAGGATGTGTTGTAAGCCATTTATCATAAACTGAGATAAAGACCAGCTACATGTTCTCAACTGAGTCAATTAAGCAGTAAACTTTCTAAATGAAAGTCGAACTGACTTCTTGGAAGGAACAATATCTCTTTAAAAACACATTGATCTGTGAGTGGGTTAACAAGCTGAAACTTGATAGCGTGCCTTTCATCAGTGACAACTCAAATGTCCGATTACAAGTCTTGAAGTAGAGTATACGGTATAAGAAAGTGATAACAATGTACTGACAATACAACATAATGTGTGTTTTATGTTCTATCGAGTAAAATAGGGGTGTGGTTAAAGTCTGACATCTGAGGAAGCATTTGGAGGTGATAGCTATTAGAGGTGGTTGGAGGATAATAATTGACCCCCCTTAGGACATAAATAGAGGTCACATTTAGCTTAATTAACCAAGACACACTTTCTTGGAATTAGATTACTTGAGCACTTCATGACAATTGTGCATGCATGTTTGGCAAAAAAACATAACAAGCTTTTTTTACTCACACAAAGTCCCATTACTTTTCAGATTTTTCTAAAATGTGTCAGTTTAAGACTTTATTTAAAAGGTTGCACCTGTCTCCTTTGCCAATATGTTTTGGGTCACAAACAAAGAGATAAGCGAAACCCATTAAAAGAGGTAACTCTCTGTGGTAAACAGATTTCCCCCGACCAAAAGCCAGTAAATATTGTCGGATGGTCATGACCAAATCTATATATGTAAAAGAGTGTCTAAAAGAAAACGAAATTATTGTTATTTTGTATGTTTAAGTCAACAAAAAAACACAAAACAATAAAAA